CTGCGGGCTTACGTGGTGCTGGCTTGGGGGAACATCTAGTGAAAGGATCCCCAACATATCCCTCCCAACACAGACAGTTCGGGATGTGGTTCACCACCGCGCAGCGAGCTCCCATGCCGCAGGAGCCCGGACAAGGATCGCTGCATCTCCTATTGATACAGGCGTGCGACCTGGAGGGACAGTCGGAATTGGAGAGACATTCGGGTCTACAGTTGGGCGGAGAACCCAAATAGTTGGCGAGACAGGAACATTTCGCTGTTCCTGCTGGAGTCGGTTCACATAGCGCATTGGGGCCGCACGGGGAAGGCACGCAAGGGTTTCCGTTGGGGGGTTGCTCAGGGGGTTGTTCTTGAGCTACAAAGTAAAGTCCCCACTTAGTTTGCTGTGACACGCCCAAGGGGACGGACCTACCGGCAACAATGCGACAGGCCACAAATGGATCGCCGGAATATCGGGGGGCGCAACTGCATATGGGGTTGTGGTTAACCACTTGGCAAACCGTGTTAAGTCCGCACGTCCCTGGACAAGGGTCGATGCACCTTTGGTTCACGCACGCCCTGTTCATCGGGCATTCGATATTGGCTACGCATTCCGGCCGGCAAGCGGGCGGACTGCCAATGAAGCCCACTAAACAACTACAAGACGCTTGGTTGTTGAATTCGCGACATTGGCTGTTGGGGCCGCAAGGCGTGGGGTTGCACGGGCGCTCTGGTAGTGGGGGCGGCGCTAAATCAAGACGGATTGTTCAATTTTACTTATTCCGATTGACGCCTGTTGGAAACTTACTAGGGACGGGGGTGCAGGATTCCCAGGGTTGGCCTGTATACCCTGGCAAGCATGTGCAGATAGGCGAATGGTTTATCACGAAACATTCGGAGTTTCGGGGGGCGCAAGCGCCTGCGCAGGGGTCACGGCACTTGTGATTCAAACACATTAGACCCCTGGGACAATCTGAGCTAATTGCGCACTCTGGGCGGCACTCCCTGTAGGGGTCGCCGCGGTACTCAGAATAACAACTACAGGTTCCGTTGTGACATAACGCGTTCGCCCCACATGGTCTGGGCACACACGCGTCAATGACATTTGGACCTGCAACACATCACTATCAAACCTGTTCCTTAACCGAGGTCTTTGACCGGTCTTACGAGGCAGGGGCTTGGGGTAGCACGCCAGGAACGCATCTCCCTCATATCCGAGTGGACACACGCATACTGGCGCATGATTCACCACTCGGCAATCGGCTTGGAGGCCGCAAGTGCCCGGGCAGGGGTCTTGACACTTTGCGTCAATACACGTCAAACCCAAGGCACAATCGGAGCTCAGTGTGCATTCGGGGTGGCAGTTTGGAGGAGCGCCAGCATAGTGCGGTAGGCAAGAGCACGAAGGGTTTTCCTCTACTACCCTACATTGGCTGTTGGGGCCGCATGGCGTAGGGAAACACGGGTTCTTAACAACCACTGGGCCGTCATATGGTTTCACTAAAATATGTTGCGATCAATATTTCTCCCGTTGAAAACTATCTGTGACCTTACATGGGAGACGGTAGCACCTAGTGAATGGATCGCCGGTATACCCGGAGGAACACACACAGATGGGGCTGTGGTTGATCACGGAGCACTGGGAGTTCAAGCCGCATGTTCCCAGGCACGGATCCACACATTTCTGGTTCGAGCAAGCCTTATTGTGAGCACATTGCGAATTGTAAGTGCATTCAGGTCTACAAGCGGGCGGCGCCCCGAAGTAACCAGGAAGACACGTGCAGGAAGCCTGCCCGCTAATCTCCCGGCACCCAGAGTTGGGGCCGCATGGCCATGGGTCACATGGATGAGATGGTCCGACCTCACTTGCTGCAAATTACCCGCGAATAAACACCCCGGTTTTTCCAATATAAAAACCTCTTACGTGGAACGGGCTCGGGAGCTCTGTAACAGGCTGTGAACGGTTCGCCAGTATAACCAAGCGGACAATTACAGGACGGAATGTGGTTGATGACCTGGCAATCGGCATTGACCCCGCACGTTCCTGGACAAGGATCCGCGCATTTGTTGTTGATGCACGCCTTGTTGGAGGGACAGTCGGAGTTCAGACTGCACTCCGGCCTACAGCCCTCGTAGGGGTTGCCGATGTAGTCAGCTACACAGGAACACGAGCCTGCTCCTCTTTGCTCTTTGCACATGGCGTTGGCGCCGCAGGGGGACGGCGTGCATGGTGTAGGGGTTTCGGGCTGAGGTCGCGGTTCTACAAAGGTTCAGCGGTTAAGAGGGTTGTGGCACAAATCACCTGAACGTTACCCTCAATAGTGGCGCATCTCAGGAAGGGGTTTCCGTTGTGGCCCGGCAAGCAGACGCAGTTGGGAGTGTGGCTCACTACTCGACACTCGGCGTTTTGGCCGCATACTCCCTCACAGGGGTCTTTGCACTTTTGGTTGATGCACGCCAGGTGAGAGCGGCATTCGCTGTTGCTCACACACTCCGGCCGGCAACTTGGAGGCGAGCCGATAAACTCAGGGAGGCACGAGCATGAGGGACTACCATTCAGGTCCCTGCATTGAGAGTTGGGGCCGCAAGGGGATGGTTGGCAAGGGTTGGTGGGTTCCACTGGGGGCTCTTCTCCTGAAATACCCAGGTTAGTGCGTGAGCATGTCACTGAGGCACAGGGCAACTCACTGATAGGCACACACCGGACAAACGGATCGCCGGTCTGTCTTTGACGGCAACTGCATACGGGGTTGTGATTGATGACTTGACACAGCGCATTTATGCCGCAAGTGCCCGGGCAGGGATCGATGCACTTCTGATTGAGGCAGGCTTGATTAAGGGGGCACTCACTCGAGGTGATGCACTCGGGGCGGCAGGTTGGAGGGCTTCCAATGTAGCCCAGCACGCAAGAACAGACCGCTTGACCATTGATGGGGCGGCATTGGCTGTTGGGCCCACATGGCGACGGGTTGCAGGGGTTTTGCGGAACATCCGCAGGAGTTTTGTGGCAAATCACAAATGGTTCACCTGCATAGCCTTGCAGGCAGGTGCAGCTTGGTATGTGGTTTATGACGGCGCATTCAGCGTTTTGGCCGCAGGTGCCCGGGCAAGGGTCGCGACACTTTTGGTTCATGCACGCCTTATCTCTGGCACAGTCGGTGCTAAGGAGGCACTCGGGCCGACATCCCATATAGGGATCGCCGTGGTACTCTGGAACGCAGCTGCAGCTGCCGCTGTTGCATATGGCGTTCGGCCCGCAAGGCGAGGGGTTGCATGGATCGGCCTCAACTGTTGGGGCGGGCGGCGCCGGCTTGGGATGACAACGGTTGAACGGATCTCCTGTGTATCCGTCCAGGCAGGAGCAGATTGGCAGGTGATTGATTACGGAGCACTGCGCGTTGAGCCCACAAGAGCCCGGGCATGGATCCGTGCATTTCTCGCGGATGCACGCCAGCCTGCTGACGCAGTCTGAGTTAATGGTGCATTCCGGCCGGCAATTGGGCGGGCTGCCAATGTACGAGGACACGCAGGAGCAGGACGGGGCGCCGCTCATATCCTGACAGATCGAGTAGGGACCGCAAGGCGATGGCACACAAGGGTTGCTCAGCACTGGCTGAGTCGGCTCTGATGGCGCAGCTGAAATTCACACAGGTCTTTCAATCACATCAGTCACAGTGGGTAAACGGTTTAAGCCTTACGTGGATTGGCATAGCAGCGAGTGAACGGATCCCCAGTGAACGCAGGCAGGCAACTGCAGATGGGGCTGTGGTTGATAACGCTGCATTGGGCGCTAAGCCCGCAGGTGCCTGGGCAGGGATCGGCGCATTTTTGGTTAATGCAGGCCTGAGCCTGCGGACACTCCGCGCTAACCGTGCATTCGGGCCTACAGCCTGGGGGCGAGCCCACGTAAGTGGGCAAACAAGAGCAAACCGCCTGGCTGTTGACCTCCCTGCACTGGCTGTTGGGCCCACAGGGCGAGGGCTGGCAAGGGCTTTGCGGCGGCTCTTCCACAGCTAAAAAACCCCATCGTTAACCCCCTTTCCTTGGAAGCGACCGACAATCTTACGTGTTGGCTGTTGCTGCACAACCGTGCAAAATCGGAACGGATCCCCAGTGTAGCCGACAGTGCAACTGCACGAGGGCAAGTGATTGATCACTTGACATTGGGCGTTCTGCCCACACGTGCCAGGGCAGGGATCAACGCACTTGTTCCCGATGCAGGCCCGACTTGACGGACAATCGGAGTTGAGCGTGCACTCCGGCCTGCAGCCCTCATAGGGATTTCCCAGGTAATCCTGGATGCACGTGCATGAGCCCGCGTTGTTTTGCTCCCTGCAGACGGCGTTAGCGCCGCAAGGCGACGGGTAGCAGGGGTTTATCTGTTCCAAAGGCCTAGGGGCTGGAAATTGCAGAACACACAGTTTGAAGTGGGAGTGGGAGACCACTTTAACCAGCTCGATCATACCTTCAACAATGTTGCACCGCACGAAAGGATTCCCAGCGTAGCCCTGCAGGCAAATGCAGTTGGGGCTGTGACTGACCACTCTGCAGTCGGCGTTTTCCCCACACGTTCCAGGGCAGGGATCTGTGCACTTTTGACTGATGCAGGCCAAGTGGTTGGCGCACTCGCTGTTGCTGACACACTCGGGTCGGCAATTGGGAGGCTGGCCGATAAACTGCGGCACGCAGGAGCAGGATGGCGACCCGCGAATTTCTTTGCACTGGGCATTGGGGCCGCAAGGTGACGGGTTGCATGGGTCCACTACTACTGGCTCTTCCACTGAAAGTTTCACCGATTGCTTAGATGCAAAGTCCAGAAAACTGGCAACTCCCTTACCGATAGGCGCGCATCTAGTGAAGGGGTCCCCAGAGTGCCTGCTAGGGCAACTGCAAATGGGATTGTGGTTGACCACTTGACAGAGGGCGTTGACTCCGCATGTTCCCGGACAAGGATCGATGCACTTTTGGTTCTGGCAAGCCTTGTCCAAGGAGCATTCGTTGGATGACACGCACTCCGGCCGGCAAGCCGGAGGGCTGCCGCTAAATCCTGGCACACACGAGCAAACCGCCTGGCCGTTGATTTCCCTACAATGACTGTTGGGCCCGCAGGGCGTAGGATTGCAGGGATTCTGGGGCAAATCTGCCGGAACCTGCTGGCAGCCTACGAAGGCGTTGCCTTGATAGCCGCTCAGGCAGGCGCATGTAGGGATGTGGTTGATGACTGAACACTCGGCGTTCTGGCCGCATGTGCCTGGACAGGGGTCCACGCACTTCTGCCTGAGGCAAGCCTTGCTGTTAGGACAATCGGTGTTCAGTAGGCACTCTGGCCGGCATCCCACGTAAGGGTCGCCCTGGTAGTCGGGCACGCATGTGCAAGTGCCTTTGTTGCATTGCGCATTCGCGCCACACGGGGATGGGTTGCACGGGTCCTGCTCCACAACTGGCTCTGGGACTTTCACGCGGCAGAAACTAAACGGATCGCCTGTATACCCTTCTAGGCAGACGCAAACTGGGATGTGGTTGAAGACGCTACATTGGGCCCCAGGCCCACAAAGCCCTGGGCAAGGGTCGCGGCACTTCTGCTGCATGCACGCCTGGTCGGTGGGACATTCGGAGTTAATGGTGCATTCGGGCCGACAGCTTGGAGGGGAACCGATGTAGCTAACTAGGCAGCTGCAGGACGGGAACCCTCCAATAGCGCGACACTGGGAGTTGGGCCCGCAGGGCGAGGGCACGCAAGGATCCACTATCGGTCGAACCACATCTTCGACTGGAGGAGCTGAAAATGTCCCCATTAAACCTCCCCATAGATTCCAACCGGCCAAAACTACCTGGAGTTGCATAACAGCGACTGAAGGGATCCCCAGTAAAGCCGCTCGAGCAGCTGCAAATGGGGCTGTGGTTGATCGCTTGGCATTTGGCGTTCAACCCACAAACCCCCACGCATGGATCAGCGCACTTCTGGGTAACGCAGGCTTTATCCAGCGCACATTCTGAGCTAACCACGCACTCAGGCCGGCAACCTGGAGGCGTGCCCTGATAGTCTGGAAGACAAGAGCACACCGCCTGCGCGTTGAGTTCGCGGCATTGACTGTTGGGCCCGCAGGGCGAAGGCTCACATGGCTTGGCGGGCTCGGCGACGATCGCTGAAATTTCAACTTTAGCTTTAGGGGGCCTGGTTCTAACTGCACCAGCCAGACTCACGTTCTTCTACAATAACTGCACAGTGCCGGAATGGATCGCCGGTGTATCCGACATTGCAACTGCAGGAGGGCAGATGGTTGATCGGTTGGCATTGGGCATTGCTCCCACAAGCCCCCGGACAGGGATCTTGGCACTTGTTGCTTAGGCAAGCCTTATTAGAGGGACAGTCAGAGTTGAGAGAACATTGCGGACGGCAGCCTTCATAAGGATTTCCAATGTACTCTTGCAGACATTGGCAGGCGCCAGCTCCGTTCTGCTCCCTGCAGAGGGCATTCGCGCCACATGGCGATGGTATACAAGGCGTGGGCCGTTCAGGCTGAGGCACTTCCACCTTCAAGGTGCACTGGACAAATGGATTGCCTGCAAATCCTGGCTGGCAAATGCAGTTGGGAGTGTGGCTGACCACTCGGCAAGCGGCATCCAGGCCGCATGTCCCAGGACAGGGATCTTTGCACTTTTGACTGATACAGGCCAGGTGCGCGGCACATTCGCTATTACTGACACACTCCGGCCGGCAATTAGGTGGGGTGCCGATGAATTCCGGCAGGCAGGAGCAGGAGGGGGCGTTCCCAACGTCTTTGCATTGGGCGTTTGGACCGCACGGATTGGGCTGGCATGGATTGGTAGGCGCCAGGGGCGGTTCTTCTCCTAAAATCGCTTAGTTAACTACTGCAAATCTCCGTTTTAGAGGGAGCGTGACATACTTATGGGGAGACATCTGGTGAAGGGATCCCCAGTCTGGCCAGGCAAGCAGCTGCAAATGGGGTTGTGATTGACCACCGAACATTGGGCGTTCAGTCCGCACGTCCCCGGACAAGGGTCGATGCATTTTTGGTTAAGGCAAGCTCTGTTCAAGGGGCATTCCGGACTGGTGACACACTCGGGCCGGCAGCTGGGCGGAGTTCCGATGTATCCAGGCACGCAGGAGCACACGGCCTGGCCGTTGAGCTCGCGACATTGACTATTGGGACCGCAGGGCGCAGGCTGGCACGGGTTTTGCGGAGCTTCCACTAAAATATCGGGAAATTTTAGCTCCAATCGGGGGCTTGCCGAGCGACGAGCTACCTGGAATAGGGGAGCAAGCTACGAAGGCGTTGCCCACAAATCCGGACCGGCAGGAACATATCGGGATGTGGTTGATTACTGCACACTCAGCGTTCTGGCCGCAGGTGCCCGGACAAGGGTCCAGGCACTTGTTCCTGATACAAGCCCTATTCCTAGCACAGTCCTCATTGAGGACGCATTCCGGCCTGCACCCTCTATAAGGGTCACCGTGGTATTCAGGCAGGCAAGTGCAGATTCCCCTACTGCATTGGGCATTGGCCCCGCAGGGCGAGGGGTTGCAAGGATCAGCTTCCACCACCGGAAGCGAGGGCGGTTTGGGTGAGCAACTAGTGAACGGATCACCAATATACCCATCCAGACAGCTGCAGATCGGGGTATGGTTGATAACGGAGCATTGGGCGTTCCTGCCGCATGAGCCCGGGCAAGGATCGCGGCATTTCTGTTGGATGCAGGCCAAGTTATGCGGGCATTCCGCATTAATCGAGCATTCCGGTCGGCAGTTCGGAGGGCTGCCGATAAACGTACGCAAGCAGGAACAGGAGGGGTTTCCGCCTATATCGCGACACTCGCTGTTGGGTCCGCAGGGCGATGGCACACACGGGTTCTGAGCTATTGGCTCCTCCTGCGGCACCGGCGCTGGAATGGGATAGCATCTAGTGAACGGATCTCCGGTATATTGGGACAAGCAGCTGCATATGGGGCTGTGGTTGATCACGTGGCAGTTGGCATTCAGGCCGCATGTTCCAGGGCAAGGATCCGCGCATTTCAAGTTCACACAGGCCTTGCTTGGCGGACATTCCCCACTAACCACGCATTCAGGCCTACAGCCGGGAGGACTGCCTACGAACTCTGGGAGGCACGAGCAGACAGCTTGGCCATTGACTTCGCGGCATTGGCTGTTTGGTCCGCAGGGCGAGGGCTGGCAAGGATTCTGGGGCTGCTCTTCCCTCACAGCTGCAATCACCCGGTAAGCAAACAGCAAAGGGACAAAAGCCTACCAACTTACGCTCAGGAGGCACCAAGCTGCAGTATCGATAGGGATCTCCAGTGTATTGCGCTAAGCAACTGCACGAGGGCAGATGATTGATGGCCTGGCATTCAGCGTTCTGCCCACACGTTCCAGGGCAAGGATCAGTGCATCTGTTTCGGACGCATGCTTTGTTCGAGGGACAATCGGAGTTGATGCTGCATTCCGGCCGGCAGCCTTCATAAGGATTCCCTATGAATTCCGGCAAGCAAATACACGCACCAGCCCCATTTTGCTCACGGCATTGGGCGTTGGCGCCGCAAGGAGATGGCAAGCAGGGCGTCGGCCTGGGAACTGGTTGGACAACTAGAAAACCCATTAAGGGAATTTGAAGTGAACGGGTATCTAATGAAACCTGGACATGTCAAAGGACAGTAGGATGTTTTTTCTACCTTGTGGGGAGCAGCTGGAGAAAGGATTCCCTTCGAATCCAGTCAAACAGACACAGTTGGGAGTATGGCTAACCACTCGACACTCTGCATTCTGGCCGCAAATGCCCGGGCAAGGGTCCGTGCACTTCTGGCCAATGCAGGCCAAATGGTTGGCGCATTCGCTGTTGCTGATGCATTCGGGCTTGCAGTTGGGCGGCGCCCCAATAAACCCTGGTAGGCACGAACAGGATGGGCTGCCATTGGTTTCCCTACACTGCGAGTTGGGGCCACAAGGCGACGGGTTGCATGGGTTTTTAATCTCCACTGGCTCATCACCTGAAACCCGAACAGTCAAACCTACAATCCTAGGCCAATGTGGATCGCTTACGAATTGGCGTGCACTGAACGAATGGATCGCCTGTATGGCGTGGAGCGCAGCTGCATATGGGGTTGTGGTTGACCACTTGGCACAGCGAGTTGATGCCACACGTTCCCGGGCAAGGGTCGATGCATTTTTGGTTAACACAGGCCTCGTTCAAGGGGCATTCTGAGCTGGTCACGCATTCCGGCCTGCAGCTCGGAGGACTTCCAATGAAGCCGACCACACACGAGCAAACTGCTTGGTCGTTGATCTGTCTGCATTGGCTGTTGGGGCCGCATGGCGAGGGGTTGCAGGGGTTTTGTGGAATCGCGGCTAAAATGTCCCAAAATGAAATTGGCCTGGCCCCAATGAGGGCAATGAGGCTTACGTGGTATGGGCGAGCAGGCTGTGAACGCATTGCCAGTGAACCCTTGCAAGCAGGAGCACATGGGGATGTGGTTGACCACACTGCACTCCGCATTAGTTCCGCATGTTCCCGGGCATGGATCGCTGCATTTGCTGCGAACACACGCCCTGTTCCAAGGGCAGTCATTATTCAGCACGCATTCCGGCCTACAGCCTCTATACGGATCGCCCAGATATTCAGGCAAACAGGTGCAAACGCCCTCATTGCAGCGAGCATTCGCTCCACAAGGTGACGGATTGCATGGGTCTTCTTCTACGGGCGTAGGCGCAGGTGGCGGCTTGGGAACACAGTTAGTGAACGGATCGCCTCGATAGCCTTCAGGACAGACGCAAATCGGCGTGTGATTGATCACTGAGCACCGCGCCCCAAACCCACACGATCCCGGGCAAGGATCAGTACACTTCTGTCGGATACAGGCCAAATCGCTGGAACATTCCTGATTGATTGTGCATTCTGGACGGCAGTTGGGCGGGCTTCCAAAGAACGTGGGCATGCATCTGCAAACAGCCGACCCTCCAACGTTGCTACATTCGGAGTTTGCCCCACAAGGGCTGGGCACACAAGGGTCATCTTGGATGACAGTGGGCTGCACTGGTGGCGCTGCAAGCAAAAGGGCTTCAGCAAGCGACCTTTAAGGCCTTACAGACACTCACGTGGAATAGGGTAGCAACGCGTGAAGGGATCCCCAGTGTGACCTGGAGAGCAACTGCAAATGGGGCTGTGATTGATCACAGAGCATTGGGAGTTCAAGCCGCAGGTGCCGGAGCAGGGATCAGAGCATTTCTGGTTTACGCAAGCCTTGTTCTGAGGACACTCAGAACTGACCACGCACTCCGGCCGGCAACTCGGAGGACTTCCAATGAACTCCGGCAGACAGGAGCAAACGGCTTGTTTGTTCAGCTCGCGGCATTGGCTGTTCGGGCCGCAAGGCGATGGCTCGCAAGGGTTTCGTTCTGGCGCCTCTTCCAACACTTCTAGCATTTGCAAAGCAATTTTACTAAACACACATTTCCCTAGGGGGGCGCAAGCCTTACGTTCAGGGACGGGTTGGCAGTAGGTGAATGGATCCCCAGTGAATCCGGGCACGCAAACACACGAGGGCAGATGATTAATGGCGGTGCAGTCGGCGTTTTGGCCGCACGCCCCTGGGCAGGGGTCTTTGCACTTGTTGGCAATGCAAGCCTTGTTGGAGGCACAGTCGGAGTTAAGGACGCACTCAGGCCGGCAGCCTTCGTAGGGGTTGCCGATGTAATCGGGTAGGCAAGTGCAGGAACCAGCGCGGTTTTGCTCCCTACAGACGGCGTTCGCCCCACAGGGCGAAGGCAGGCAGGGGTTGATGATTTCTGCTGGTGGCGCTGAAACGGAGCAATTTACAAAAACCATATTTGGCTAGGTAATGGTCCAAGCAAAGGTCCAAGGAAACCTTGGAAACGTCGACGCATTTCCGATAAATTCCCCCGATTAGTTTGAAGCGTTTTGATTAGTAGCAAGGCATAATCTGGGGGTTTCGTTGGGCAACTAGTAAAGGCAATGGCATAATATCAGGAGGCTTACACGGTGGCACTGAGCAAGAGACGAACGGATTTCCAGAAAATCCAGGTAGACAGTAGCAGTCAGCTCTGTGGTTGGAGGCGCGGCAGTTGGCATTCCTGCCACACACACCTGGGCAAGGGTCGCGGCATTTTTCGCCGATACACGCCAAACTGTAGGCGCAATCGTTGTTGCTGACGCATTCCGGCCTGCAGTTGGGCGGCGCCCCAACGTAACCCGGCAGGCAAGAGCAGGACGCCTGCTCATTGACAACCTGGCATTGCGAATAGGGGCCGCAAGGCGACGGTTGACAGGGGAACGAGGGCACTACCGCTTCTTCCTCTAAGGGAATTTAAAAAACCTTACATTTCTGGCCGATGCCACTTTTGGGTGACCTTACGCAGGGCAGTGCATCTAACGAACGGGTTGCCAGTTTGTCTGGCGGGGCAGCTGCAGATGGGGTTGTGGTTGACCACCTGGCAAGTAGCCCCAAGTCCGCAGGTGCCAGGGCAAGGGTCGGAGCACTTTTGGTTTACGCAGGCCCTGTTCAAGGCGCACTCTGAACTGAGCACGCACTCCGGCCTGCAGGTGGGCGGGCTGCCAATAAAGCCCGGCACACACGAGCATACGGCCTGGCCGCTGGTTTCTCGGCATTGGCTGTTGGGGCCGCAAGGACTGGGGTTGCAGGGGTTTTGCAAGGTGGTGTCTGGCAAATCAAAGCAACATTTCAGCCGGCTTCTAAAGGCCGCAGGCTACACCGCAATAACTACCTGGAATCTTCGAGCAGAACGTAAAGGCATTGCCAACATATCCGGGCAAGCAGGTGCACATGGGGATGTGATTAATTGCAGCACATTCGGCGTTTTGGCCGCACGTTCCCGGACAGGGATCAACGCACTTCATCCGGATGCAAGCTCGATTCTTCGGGCAATCGTTGTTCAGCACGCACTCCGGCCGGCAAGACGCATAGGGATCGCCGTGATACTCAGGCAGGCAAGTGCAGATGCCGTTGTGGCATTGGGCGTTCGCCCCGCATGGGGAGGGGTTGCAAGGGTCGCTTTCCACCAATGGGGGAGGCTCAACCGGCTTAGGGGAACAGTAGCTGAAGGGATCGCCTATAAAACCTTCAATGCACGTGCAAATGGGGGTGTGGTTGATGACCGAGCATCTGGCATTGGTGCCGCACGATCCTGGGCAAGGATCTCGGCATTTCTCCCGGATGCAGGCCAGCTTGAAGGAGCACTCTGAGTTAATGGTGCATTCGGGCCGGCAGTTTGGTGGGCTCCCAACATATGTGGGCAAACAAGCGCAAACCGGTGATTGATTCAAGTCCTGGCATTGGCTGTTTGGGCCGCACGGGGATGGCACGCATGGGTTTCTATAAGGAATGTCCTCCTGTACCAAGGGAGGAGCTAAAAACAATTCACCGCTGTAATACCGCAGGAGGCCCGTCAGGTGGCCACTTACAAGGTATGGGGTAGCATCGGGTGAACGGATCCCCAGTGTGACCAGCCCTACAGCTGCAAATGGGGCTGTGATTGATCACAGAACATTGGGCGTTAAGTCCGCACGTTCCCGGACAGGGATCCGCGCATTTCTGGTTCAGACATGCCAAATTCTGAGCACATTCTGAGCTCACTGTGCACTCAGGTCGGCAGTTGGGGGGCGAGCTGATATACTGCGGCAAGCACGAGCAGATGGCCTGTCCATTCACCTCCTTGCACTGGCTGTTTGGACCGCAAGGGGACGGGTTGCAAGGGTTTTGAGGTGTCGCCGGCGCTTCAATTGCTATAAGAAATGTTTTAGGCCACATCGCATCATTTGCCTGGAGGTTCTCAAGTGGACACATTGCATACCTTGAATGACGCTGCAGAATCTAAACGGATCTCCAGTATGGCCTGCCAAGCAGGAACATTGAGGCAGGTGGTTCCGCACATGGCACTCGGCATTCTGCCCACACGCCCCTGGGCAAGGGTCTTGGCATTTTTTGTTGATGCAAGCCCTATTCATTGGACAGTCGGAATTAACCGTGCACTCCGGCCGGCATCCTTGGTAAGGATCGCCGAAGTAGTCCGGTATGCACGTGCAAGATCCCGCATTGTTCAGCGCCTTGCAAACGGCGTTTGGACCACAAGGGGACGGCGAGCAAGGAGAGATTATCTCCGGTGGTGCTGGCGCTACAAGGGGTTTAGTCAGTTTAACACCTCCATCTCCTGGGAGCTTTGGTGGCTTACATTGAGGCGGCGAGCACAGAATAAACGGATTTCCCACATAGTTGGAAGTGCATACGCAGTTGGGGGTATGGCTGACCACCCTGCACTCTGCATTCTGGCCGCACAGGCCCGGGCAAGGGTCTTTGCACTTTTGACCGATACAGGCCAGGTTGGAGGCGCACTCGTTGTTGCTGAAGCACTCGGGCCGGCAATTTGGGGGTGATCCAATAAACTCGGGCAAACAAGTGCATTGTGGACTGCCGTTAGTTGCGCGACATTGCGAGTTGGGGCCGCAAGGCGACGGTTGGCATGGGTTCACGATTTGAGGTTCCTCCAACGCTAAATGAAGACCAGCATTAGGTTCACCATATAATCATTGGCTTTGGATGGCTGAGGTTCTTCTGAGAGATATTTCTCAGCGCGGATGCAGGCTAACTAGGCAGAGTTAAGTACGATTCCCGGCCGTAGTCCGCGGCGCAAAAATACGTCTCAGAAGCCCCCAGTCGAATGGAAGAAATAATTACGTTTGGGCAAGCATCTGACGAAGGGGTCTCCCACATAGTGGTCGAAGCAGGTGCAGATCGGGTTATGGTTCACCACTTGACACTGGGCGTTCAAACCGCAAGTCCCCGGGCAAGGATCCATACACTTCTGGTTAACGCAAGCCTTATTCAATGCGCATTCAGCGCTGGTTACGCATTCCGGCCGACAACTTGGTGGGCTGCCAATGAAGCCTGGAACGCACGAGCACACAGCCTGTCCATTGACTTCCCTACATTGGCTGTTGGGCCCGCAGGGCGTAGGGATGCATGGATTTGTCACCACTGGCTTCGGAATAAGGGTGCAGAGAATGAAAGCATTGCCAGCGTATCCAAAAGAGCAGGTGCAGATGGGGATGTGGTTCTGAACCGAACACTCAGCATTCTGGCCGCATGTTCCCGGGCAAGGATCAATGCATTTGCTTCTGATGCAGGCCCTGTCGTTGGGGCAGTCGTTGTTCAGGACGCATTCCGGCCTGCATCCCCTGTATGGGTCCCCGTGGTATTCAGGTAGGCAAGTGCAGACCCCATCGTTGCATTGTGCGTTCGGCCCACAAGGCGATGGGTTGCACGGATCAGATTCCACAGGCGCAATAGGAGGAGGCGGCTTGGGCGCGCAGCTGGTGAATGGATCTCCTATGTAGCCTTCCAGACACGTACAAATCGGCGTGTGGTTGATCACTGAGCACTGCGCTCTGATACCGCACGAGCCTGGGCAGGGATCTCGGCACTTCTGAGTAATACACGCCAGATTGCTGGCGCATTCCGAGTTTATCGAACATTCAGGCCTACAACTTGGAGGACTGCCCAGGAACTGGGGAAGACAGGAACATGAAGGTGACCCGCCAATGTTTCTACACTGCGCATTGGTTCCACATGGAGAAGGACTGCAAGGGTCCCTGACGGGCTCCACCACAGGAGGAGGAGCTGCAATATTGAGCCAGTTAACGCAACATTGAGGCCAACTTTGGGCAAACTTACGCGGAACAGGGTAACACCGGGAAAATGGATCCCCAGTGTAGCTGATTCTACAGCTGCAAATGGGGCTGTGATTCACTACTTGGCAGTTGGCGTTCAAGCCACATGTGCCTGGGCATGGATCAACGCATTTCTGGTTAACGCAAGCTTGACTTTGGGGGCACTCAGCGCTCACTGTGCACTCTGGCCGACAGGCTGGAGGGCTGCCAATGTACTGAGCCAGACAAGAACATACAGCCTGCCCGTTGAGCTCCTTGCATTGGCTGTTGGGCCCACAAGGCGTGGGCTGGCAAGGGTTTTGGGGAACGTCATTGGCCGGGGCTGGAAAGTTGCAACATTGCCTTAAATTGCCTGGAGGGAAATGAGAAAGTCTTACGTTCTGGCGGCATGACATTGCAATAGCTGAAGGGATCCCCAGTGAAGCCCACGTTGCAGCTGCAACTGGGCAAATGGTTGACAACTTGGCAGTAGGCGTTCTGAGCGCAAGTTCCTGGGCACGGATCAGCGCACTTGTTGTTGATGCAGGCCCTATTTGAGGGACAGTCCGAGTTGAGTGAGCATTCTGGGCGGCACCCTTCGTAGGGGTTGCCGATGTATTCAGGCACGCACGTGCAGGAGCCAGCTTGATTCTGAACGCGACACTCGGCATTCGCCCCACATGGGGAAGGTACACAAGGATTGACCGTTTCCGTTGGTAGTGGCAGAGGAATAATTCCACAGGAAGTGAATGGGTTGCCTGTATAACCGGCGATACAAACGCAGTTGGGTGTGTGGCTCACCACACGACACTCTGCATTCTGGCCGCATGTTCCTGGGCAAGGATCCTTGCATTTATTGCCGATACAGGCCAAGTGGTTGGCGCATTCGCTGTTGCTGACGCACTCCGGCCTACAGTTGGGGGGAGAGCTGATGAACCCGGGCAAACAGGAGCAAGAGGGAGAATCATTGATTTCCTTGCACTGCGCGTTCGGTCCACATGGAGATGGTTGGCACGGGTTGGCCACAACCTGGGGGGCTTCAATCGCTAAAAGGCCATTACGGGAATCAGTGCAACGCGGGTTTTGGGGCTTGGGTGGAACTTACGAGTAGGCCGACACCTGATGAAAGGGTCGCCGGTCTGCCCAGCCGGGCAGCTGCAAATGGGGTTGTGATTGACCACTTGGCACTTGGCGTTCATTCCGCAAGTGCCCGGGCAGGGATCGATGCATTTTTGATTCAGGCAAGCCTGACTCAGGGGGCATTCGTAGCTGGAGGTGCACTCCGGCCGGCAAGTTGGAGGAATGCCAATGTAGCTCGGCAGGCAGGAGCAAACGGCTTGCTGATTGATCTCTCTGCATTGGCTGTTGGGCCCGCAAGGGCTTGGCGAACAAGGGCTAACAGGGCGCGGAACTACAACGAGGGTGGCGCGTTAGTGTTAAACAATCAAACATGTTCGGGGCTAAAAACCTTGGACTTCCGAGCATAAGACGAACGCATTGCCAGTGAATCCTGGCAGGCAGGAGCACATGGGAACATGCTCGTAGACGTTGCACTGGGCGCTTCGCCCGCATGTTCCAGCACAAGGGTCGGCACATTTGCTCCGAATGCACGCTTTGTCGCGGGGACAATCGTTGCTGACTACACATTCAGGCCTGCAGCCCTGATAGGGATCTCCTTGGTACTCTGCAAGGCAGCTGCACACCCCATCGTCACAGCGAGCATTTGCCCCACAGGGCGAGGGATTACACGGGTCAGGCTCTTCAAGCATTGCTAAAATGACATTTAAGAGGAGCGTTGGAGGATTCACAATTATTGAGACTTTGCAACCACATTTTTACCTGGTGGTTTTTGGACAGTGCAAGCCCTGAAGGGATCGCCGGTATACCCGTCAAAACAAGTGCAAATGGACACATGATTAATCACCGAACACTGGGCGTTCAACCCACAAGATCCCGGGCAAGGATCCTGGCACTTTTCCCTGATACACGCCAAGTTGCTGGGGCATTCCGCATTGATGACACATTCGGGCCTACAGTTGGGAGGACTGCCCACATACGTGGCCCTACAGCTGCAAGAGGGGCTGCCATTGATGTCCCGGCATTCGCTATTGGGGCCGCATGGGGAGGGCACACAAGGGTTGACAGGCACTGGTATAGGTTGCGGTGTTGGAGGGGCTGCAACATTGGGCCCATTAGGGAAGACTGCACTTAATGGAAGCCTGGCGATCTTACGCGGAATTGGGTAGCATCTGGTGAACGGATTGCCAGTGGTGCCAGGCCGGCAGCTGCAGATTGGGCTGTGATTGACCACCTGGCAGCTCGTACTCAGCCCGCACGTGCCAGGGCACGGGTCAGCGCACTTGTTGTTGATGCACGCTCGTTGGAATGAGCATTCCGAGCTGACCACGCATTCCGGCCGACAACTGGGCGGACTTCCAACATATTCCGGCAGACACGAACATACCGCCTGTCCATTTACCTCACGACATTGACTGTTCGGACCGCAAGGGGACGGTTGGCAAGGCTTCGTAGGCTCTTCTTCCACGGCTAAAGCCCCGGGAGTTAAAAACAAGGCGTGAATAAACTCAGAACTGACTCACTTTGCTGAACGGTGACTAGATGGCAATACCTAAAGGGGTCACCAGTGTAGCCGGGTTGGCAAGTGCACGATGGCACGTGTTTCACCACTTGGCAATAGGCGTTCTGCCCGCAGGTGCCCGGGCAAGGATCAATACACTTATTGTTGGAGCAAGCCTTGTTTGACGGGCAATCAGGGTTAATCGTGCACTCCGGCCTGCAGCTTTCATAGGGATTTCCTAGGTATCCGGGTAGGCAAGCACATTGACCCGCCCCATTCCGCTCCCTGCACAGAGCATTCGAGCCGCAAGGGGACGGCGTGCAAACACTGAGATGCTCGAGTGGAGGTGGTGGAGGCAACTGGCAGGAGCTGAAAGGGTTGCCGATGTATCCAGCAATGCACACGCAGTTCGCCGTGTGGCTGACAACGCGACATTCTGCATTGCTACCACAACTACCAGGGCAGGGGTCTTTGCATTTCTGGCGCATGCAAGCCAAGTGATTGGGGCATTCGCTGCTGCTGACACATTCCGGCCTGCAGTTGGGCGGCACGCCAATAAATTCCTGCAGGCAAGAACAGGATGGACTATCCCCAACCGGCTGGCATTGGGCGTTGGGGCCGCATGGCGATGGTTGGCAGGGATTGGTTGGAGTTATCTGGGGTTGCTCTGCAAGGGACGGTTTTAGTCAGTAGTCACTAGGGGCTTTTTATGCTGCACAGGAGCCAAACGTGATGACTCAGCTCCGTTACAAGAAAAGGAGTAGTAATGGGGGAAGTGAGTGAATCATCCCACTCCCGTTTGAGACTTTCCTTTTCGCGCAATAGAGGCGAGTTACACCCACTCCTCACAACCAAGCACATCACTTACGGACTGGCACACATCGAATAAACGGATCGCCCGATAATTGGGGCGGGCAACTACAAATCGGGTTGTGATTGACCACTTGACATAGCGCGCCCACACCACACGTTCCTGGACATGGATCGATGCATTTCTGGTTTAGGCACGCTTGGTTCAAGTTGCATTCCGCACTGGACACGCATTCCGGCCTGCAAGTGGGCGGCGCCCCAATAAAACCGGGCACACATGAGCAAACGGCCTGCCCATTCAGTGCCCTGCACTGACTGTTTGGTCCGCAGGGCGAGGGACTACACGGGTTCTGAGGACGAGGCTCTAAAACTTTGCTTATAGTAAAGTGAAAATGGGGTTGAAATGGAGCGACTCACTTTCGATTCGATTGCAAACCACAAAGGCGTTGCCTTCGAAGCCTTGCAAGCAAGTGCACATGGGAATGTGGTTGACCACGCTGCATTCGGCGTTCTGGCCGCATGTTCCTGGGCAAGGATCTCTGCACTTTTGGGTTACGCAAGCCAAGTGGCGGGAGCAGTCGTCGCTAAGAAGACACTCCGGCCTACAGCCGCTGTACGGATCGCCATGGTATTCCGGCAAGCAGGAGCACGCTCCATTATCGCAGAGGGCGTTCGCCCCACAAGGCGATGGGTTGCAAGGGTCGCGGACCACCGGTTCGGTTTCCAAAGGTTTGACCACACAGTAGCTGAACGGATCGCCCATGTAACCGTCCGCACATGTGCATATCGGGACGTGGTTGATCACTGAGCAGTGAGCGCCACTTCCGCACGCTCCCAAGCAGGGGTTGTTGCATTTCTGCCTTATACAAGCCAGATCGCTGGGGCATTCTGGGTTTATCGTGCACTCGGGCCTACAGTTGGGGGGACTTCCGATGAAATCTACCAGGCAGCTACAACTAGCCACCCCGTTAAGGGTTCTACATTGACTGTTAGGCCCACAAGGTGAGGGCAGGCAGGGATCGGTGACAGCTGGTGCAACCGGTAGGACAACCGCAGGCGGGATTCTAAAGCATCGGGTGAATGGATCCCCAGTATGGCCAGGATTGCAGCTGCAAATGGGGCTGTGATTGATCACGTGGCATTTAGCGTTGAGCCCACAAGTGCCCGGGCATGGATCTTGGCATTTCTGGCTGATGCAAGCCCTGTTCAAGGCACATTCCGAGCTGACGGTGCATTCAGGCCTACAGCCGGGCGGGCTTCCCGAGTAATTGGGCAAACAGGAACAGACAGCCTGTCCGTTCACTTCGCGGCACTGACTGTTTGGCCCGCAAGGGCTGGGGTTGCAGGGGTTTTGAGGCGGAGCCTCATCTTGCACCGCTAAAAATTCAAGTGTCAAATTCCATCAAACTCAAAGAGCACCATTCTTACGCTCTGGTGGTATGCTACAGAAGCGGAAGGGATCTCCGGTATATCCAGGCAGGCAAGTGCACATTGGCAGGTGATTGACCACTTGGCAATTGGCGTTTTGGCCGCAGGTTCCAGGACAGGGATCTTTGCACTTGCTTCTCAGACAGGCCTTGTTGTAAGGACAGTCGGAGTTGAGCACGCACTCAGGCCGGCAACCCTCATAGGGGTTTCCGATGTAATCCTGCAAACACACGCATGCTCCAGCGCCGTTTTGCTCCCGACAATCCGCGTTTGCCCCACAGGGGGATGGCGAACAGGGTCTAAAAGCCTCTTGGGGGAGTTCTAGAAAAAAATTGTGAGGTGCTGACGAATGCAGGTTGCCAAGAAGACTTACGGGGCGGATGACACTGCCTGAAGGGATCCCCAGTGAATCCGGCAACGCATATGCAGTTGGGCGTATGGCTCACAACGCGACACTCCGCATTGAGCCCACAAGTGCCTGGGCAGGGATCTTTGCATTTATTGCCCATGCAGGCCAGAGTATAGGAACAATCTGAGTTGGAGACGCACTCGGGACGGCAATTGGGGGGCGAACCGACAAACCCAGATAAGCAGGAGCAAGAGGGAGACCCTCCAACTGCCCGACATTCCGCATTGGGACCGCAAGGCGAAGGTTGGCAGGGATTAGTTGGCACTGCCTCCACAGGTTCTTCTAGAATTGGGCCTTGGAGGTAAAGAGTCAGCAACGTTGTACCACACTTTTACCTTGCACTGCTAGACACCGAATGAAGGGGTTTCCAGAGAACCGTTCGGGGCAAGAGCAAATGGGGCTGTGATTGACCACTTGGCATCGCGCCCCAATGCCGCACGTTCCCAAACATGGGTTGATGCACTTCTGGTTTACGCACGCTTGAGTCAAGAGGCACTCCTGACTAGTGACGCATTCTGGTCGACAATTGGGAGGACTTCCCATGTAGCCAACCACGCACGAGCACACCGCCTGGCCGTTGATTTCCCTACATTGGCTGTTGGGGCCGCATGGTGAGGGACTGCAAGGGTTCTTAGGAGCTTCCGCTGGGGGAAAACGGAATTTGATAACCAACCCAACCTGTTGGGCTGTTAAAAATTTACCTGGAATTGCTGAGCACACCAAGAAGGCGTTGCCGGAGAATCCGGGTAAACAAGAACATATTGGGATGTGATTGAGGACGGTGCATTGGGCGTTTTGGCCGCAAGTGCCCGGGCAAGGGTCTCGGCACTTGTTTCGCATACAAGTTTTGTCCCTTGGACAGTCACTGGCAAGAACACACTCAGGCCTACATTCCCTATAAGGATCTCCGTGATATTCGGCAATGCAGCTGCAGATGCCGTTGGTGCAAACTGCATTGGGCCCGCAGGGCGAAGGATTGCAAGGATCCGTCTCCTGCACGTCTGGTTCTGGTGGCTTCGGATTGCAGTAGCTGAACGGGTCTCCTGTGAATCCTTCAGGACATCTACATATGGGTATATGGTTGACAACGTTGCAAACAGCCCCAGCCCCGCACGATCCTGGGCAAGGGTCGCGGCACTTTTCATTGATACAGGCCGAATCGCTGCTGCAGTCCGAATTGACGCTGCACTCCGGCCTGCAATTGGGCGGACTTCCCAAGTAATTGGCCAAACAAGAGCAGGACGGCGCCCCGTTAATGTTCCTACAATGACTATTGGGCCCACATGGGGATGGGACGCATGGATCGGGCCTCATAATGGGACCGACCTCAACTGGAGGGGCTAAAACGTTATTCAGTTAGAAAATTCTGCATTTCACAGTGAAAATCCCGGGCAAGATCTTACGTGGAATTGGGTAGCATCGGGTGAAGGGATCGCCGGTGAATTGCACCTTGCAACTGCAAATTGGACTGTGCTTAATAACGTTGCACAATGCATTGAGCCCGCATGTTCCTGGGCAGGGATCAGTGCACTTTTGGTTGACACAGGCCCGGTTCTGAGCGCATTCTGAGCTAACGGTGCATTCAGGCCTGCAGCCCGGGGGACTTCCAAAGTAATCGGGCAGACAAGAGCAAACAGCCTGCCCGTTCGCCTCGCGGCATTGGCTGTTGGGGCCGCAAGGGCTGGGCTGACAAGGGTTGGAGGGAATATCTTCTTGAGCTAAAAAAATTGGGATGTGACCTGGAGGCATATACCAAACACCCTTCTTACGCTGTGGAGGAATAGGCGAGCAGAATCTGAAGGGGTCACCAGTGAAGCCTCCGTTGCAACTGCAAGAGGGGAGATGGTTGATCACTTGACAGAAGGCGTTTTGCCCACAGGTGCCCGGACACGGGTCTTGGCACTTATTTCTGATGCAGGCTCTACTGGACGGGCAATCAGAATTGACTGAACATTCCGGACGACAGCCTTCGTAGGGATTGCCGATGTGCTCGGGCAAACACACACACGAACCAGCTCCGTTTCTTTCGTTGCACAGCGCGTTGCTTCCGCATGGCGACGGGTTGCAGGGGTTGAGAATCTCTGGCAGCGCAGCTTGCTGGATGTTGCATTGCAGGAAGGGATCGCCAAAATATCCTGGGGAGCAAATGCAGTTCGGCGTGTGGCTCACCACTCGGCACTCGGCGTTTAATCCACACGTGCCAGGGCAGGGGTCTTTGCATTTTCTGCTGATACAAGCCAAGTGATTGGGGCATTCGCTGTTACTAACGCACTCTGGTCTACAGTTGGGCGGAGTGCCAATAAACTCGGGCAAACACGAGCAGGATTCCGATTCGCCAATTGCCCTACATTGGGCGTTAGGCCCGCAGGGCGATACTTCGCAGGGCTGTGGCGGCCGAACCACTGGCTCAGGGTCTCCTGGAAAGTTACCAAAGTTTCACCCTGAAGTCTCGGTGAATTAAGGGTAGGCTTACGCATGGGGAGGCATCGGGTGAAGGGATCTCCACTGTATCTAGCAGGGCAGCTGCAAATGGGGTTGTGGTTGATCACCTGGCAGGTCGCACTAAGGCCGCAGGTGCCAGGGCAAGGGTCAATGCATTTTTGATTCACACACGCTTGATTCAGTCGACATTCGGGACTAGTTACGCACTCTGGCCGACAAGTGGGAGGGTTGCCCAGATAGCCAGGGACGCACGAGCAAACGGCCTGCCCATTTACTTCCCTACATTGGCTGTTGGGGCCACAGGGCGAGGGGTTGCAGGGGTTGGTCGGCCTTTCAACTAAAATCCCATGAACTTAACTCACAGTCCCCCTTTACAACAAGCAGAAAATTACCTGGTATGGGACTACAGGCCACGAAAGCGTTTCCTGCATAGCCTTGCTGGCAAGAGCACATGGGGATGTGATTGATTACGCTGCAAATTGCATTGAGGCCGCACGTGCCAGGGCAGGGATTTTTGCATTTGCTGCGCAAACAGGCCAAGTTCCTGGGGCAGTCGTTGTTTAGGACACATTCCGGCCGACAGCCTTGGTAAGGGTCTCCTTGGAACTCTGGCAGGCAGGAGCACAGGCCTTCATTGCACTGAGCATTCGAACCGCAAGGCGATGGGTTACAACGATCCTCCTCCAGAGGTTGAACTGGCGCTGGAGGCTTAGGGGAGCAGTAGCTGAACGGATCCCCAATGAAACCCTCATTACATCGGCAGATTGGTGTGTGATTGACTACTGAGCATTCTGCTCCGCTTCCGCAAGAGCCTGGGCAAGGGTCTTTGCACTTCTCCTGGATGCAGGCGAAGCTGCTGGGGCACTCGGCGTTGATGAGGCATTCTGGCCTGCAGCTGGGAGGGGATCCTATGTAACTAGGCAGGCAGGAGCACGAGGGGTTTCCATTTATGTTCCTACAAAGCGAGTTAAGCCCGCAGGGCGATGGAACGCATGGGTCGCTAACGATCGGCGCTATTGGCTCAGGAAGAGGAGCTGCAAAGGGACTCAATTTAAACATTTCCTTCCACAACTCATCTAGGGGCTCTTACGCGGTATTTGGTAGCATCGGGTGAAGGGATTCCCAGTGAACCTGGGGCTGCAGCTGCAAATTGGGCTGTGATTGATCACTTGGCATTGTGCATTGAGCCCGCAAGTTCCCGGGCATGGGTCGACACATTTTTGGCTCACGCAAGCTCTATTGGTGGCGCATTCCGAGCTCACCACGCATTCGGGGCGGCAACTGGGCGGACTTCCAACAAAAGTAGGCAAGCACGAACAAACCGCCTGACCGTTCACCTTGCGGCATTGACTATTCGGCCCACATGGGCTGGGCTGGCAAACGTTCACGGGTTCAATATCGCGCATAGCTAAAAAATGCATCCAGCTAAAGAGGTTAGTGGCGAAGCAGATTAGAGACCTACGCTCTATTAGTTGACAGAATCGGAACGGATCGCCGGTGTATCCAGGCGCACAAGTACATGAAGGCAGGTGATTGACCACTTGGCAATTGGCATTTTGCCCACAAGTTCCCGGGCAAGGATCCATGCACTTGCTCCTCAAGCAGGCCTTGGTTTGAGGACAGTCGGAGTTGACGGAACATTCAGGCCTACAGCCCTGATACGGATTCCCTATATACTCCTCAATGCAGACGCAAGCACCTGCACCATTGCGCTCTTTGCAAATCGCATTAGACCCACATGGGGACGGTTGGCAGGGGTTCAGTGTCTCCTCCTGCCTGATCGGCTGCACACATTGACTGAATGGATCGCCCTCAAAGCCAGGGAGGCAGATGCAGTTGGGAGTGTGGCTCACTACTCTGCACTCGGCGTTCTGCCCACACACCCCTGGACAGGGGTCTAGGCATTTTCGATTAATACAAGCCAAATGGTTGGCGCATTCGCTGCTGCTGACGCACTCAGGCCTACAGTTGGGCGGAGTGCCAATAAACTGGGAAAGGCATGAGCATGAGGGCGAACCATTCGACTCTTTGCATTGCGAGTTGGGACCGCACGGGGATGGTTGACAAGGGTTTGTGGGTTCGACTGAGGGCTCTTCAGGGGCTAAAAGAGAGCACGAAATAGGGATTTGGTTTTTGCGATCCTAAATGTTGGCTTACGTTTCGGGATGCACCTGGTGAAGGGGTCGCCAACATATCCAGATGGACAGCTGCAAATGGGGTTGTGATTCACCGCTTGGCATAGGGAGGCGATGCCGCAAGTGCCTGGGCATGGATCAACGCATTTCTGATTGACACAGGCCTGCACCAAAGAACATTCCGAGCTGGTAACGCACTCCGGCCTGCAAGTTGGGGGACTTCCAATGTACCCCGGCACGCAAGAACAGACCGCTTGCGCGTTCACTTCCCTACATTGGCTGTTTGGACCGCACGGGGCGGGGTTGCAGGGCTGGGCCTTGGGGAGGGCTGGAAGAAGTTGCATGGTAAGTTTCTTGGGCCATTGGCTTCAATTGGTTTCAAGTCTTACGTTCAGCTAGTCGACATGCCACAAAGGCATTTCCATTGTACCCACTGGGGCAACTGCAGATGGGGATGTGGCCAATCACTTGGCAAACAGCCCCACTGCCACACGTGCCTGGGCAGGGATCAACACACTTCATCCGGATACAAGCTCTATTCCGAGCACAGTCATTGTTAAGAGAACATTCGGGCCTACAGCCCCTGTACGGGTCTCCAAGATACTCAGGCAGGCAGGTGCAGATTCCACTGCGGCATTGGGCATTCACCCCACAAGGCGAGGGGTTGCAAGGGTCTTCTTCTACCAAGGGCACTACGTCTAGGGGCTTGAGCTGACACCCAGTGAAAGGATCGCCAATATAGCCAGCAGGGCAGCTGCAAATTGCCCGGTGATTCTGCACGGAACATGCCGCATTGGCGGCGCACGCGCCTGGGCATGGATCGGCGCATTTTTCGCGAATACATGCCTGAACACTGGGGCAATCTGGATTAATTGTGCACTCAGGGCGGCAGTTGGGGAGGCTGCCGATGTATTGGGGCAAGCACGAGCAGGACGGCGTGCTTCCTGCGCTTCGGCATTGCGAGTAGGGGCCGCAGGGCGATGGGATGCACGGGTTTACTTGCACGTCTGGCACGGAGACAGGGGGCGGAGCTAAAATATGTTGCCCTTAACTACTGGACTAGCGCATTGGGAGAAATTGCCCAAATGTATATGCACAAATACTATTCATATATCTTACGTTGTACGGGGAAACATCTGGTGAAGGGATCCCCAGTGAAGCCGCCACGGCAGCTGCAAATGGGGCTGTGATTGATCACTTGGCAGTGAGCGTTTAGTCCGCAGGTTCCCGGGCAGGGATCCACACATTTCTGGTTGATGCAGGCCGTATTCATTGCACATTCCGAGGAAACTACGCATTCCGGCCTGCAGCCTGGTGGACTACCGGAGTAGTTGGGCAAACACGAGCAGACAGCTTGGAGGTTTACTACTCTACACTGACTATTAGGGCCGCAAGGCGTAGGTCTACAGGGGTCCTCGTTTTGAACCACTAGCGCTAAAATAAAGGGTGTTTCTCAGGGCTGCAACAGGAGGGCAACATTTAATGCTTACGTTCAGTTGGCGGTAGGGAACAGTAAGCAAATGGATCCCCAGTATATCCACTTAGACAAGAACACGATGGGGCGTGGTTAATAACTTGACATTGCGCATTGGCGCCACAAGTGCCCGGACAGGGGTCCATACATTTGCTCCTTATACAGGCCCTATTGGAGGGACAGTCGGAATTATGGATACACTCGGGTCGGCAATTTTCGTAGGGGTTCCCGATATATTCAGGCAAACATTGGCAGGCGCCAGCGCCGTTTCGCTCCTTGCAAATTGCGTTCGTTCCACAGGGTGAAGGTTGGCAGGGATTTCTGACCTCCACATCAGCCACTGGCGCTATAAGGGAACATTTCTCAATATCGATACGGGGTGTTAATTAGGCCCTAATACCAAAATTAATCATTGGGTCAATAGTTCTGCGTCCTGTAAGGGTCCGAGCGAGCAAACTCTCCACGGAATCCGCATGGTTATTTCATTATGCCTTATTGTAGGTATTATGCCTTGCGTTTTACTAGATGCCATTGCTAGGGGGAGAAGCATTGTCGGGGGGTTATTTGTTTTATGTAAGCGCGCATATGGGGGGTGAAGGTAACAGTGTTTCAGTGTAGCGCACGTGAACCGACTCCATTTTAATCTTGAAAGCAGGGGTTGTTTGGGTGTTTCTCTCCACGCAATTGTTGTTGTTTGGGGGGGAAATGGGGGGTACATAGCAGGGTGTGTTGAACCGTTGCCGCTGAAGCTCGTTGTTAACGTTGAGGGATTATCCTTACCTTTTTATCCCTTTCGCAGTAGCATTAGTATTTACAGCAAAATAGGATGATTCAATGTTAAACACTTAAAATGACCTCTGACTCAGGTGTCTGATTATTAGCGTTTACGCTGCGCGGTTCCTCAAAGGGTCATGTTAAGTGTTTGATTTCATGCTACAAGTTAAGGGGCATCAAGTTAGGTTGAATAACGGACGTTTTTCTATACATATCCGATATACAGGGTGTCTCGTGAGCACCTTTGTAGGAGACCGTTTCACCTAACTTTAATCTACTCACTGTAAGAAGAAACTAATTTGTAGGTAAGTTCTATATTGTTGAAGCGGATTCATTTTTTCACAAACTTCTTTTTGGGTATTTTGCCTCAAAACTTTTTGTCTTTAAAAAAAAACCAAATTTCAAAATAAAAAAAGAGCAAAAATAATTTGTAATCCATCTAATTTTTCCAAAGAAAAACAATTTATAATAGAAATTCTAAATTTCAATAATTATCCAAATTCTTTTGTTGAAAAATGTTTTAACGAAATTG